TCTCACTTCCTCTTGGCTCAGTTTGATTTTTATCCTGCATGAAGCCAAGGACCAATCCTCTTGGCTGGTGCTGCGGGAGGGGTAGGGGGGAGGGGGGCGCCGATCTGGGTCCTCGGACCCAGGCAGCCCGCATCAAAGGCAACCTAATAGAGTAAAAAGGACATGGGGTGAGACACCTGAATCCACCAAAAAATTTAAAATTTTAAGTTACAAGAAAAAAAAGGATGCCCAAGCCACACCCCAGTCCAATTATAGCAGGATGTGCGGGGGTGGGACCCAGGCACCCCTACTTTTGAAGCTCCGCAGGTGATTCCAATGTGCAGCCAATGGTAAAAAAAAAAAAAAAACACGGTTGTAGAATGACTCCGGGCGCTTTAGTCTCCATGCGTGGGGTAGCTCCTTAGCCCGTGTCGGTTTTGCATCTAAATGTGGCTCCTCCACCCACTAAGCCCTGTTTGCACTTACGTTGATATTTGTATCCATTCCTGGCCAGGGTATCTAGTCCTTATCTTTGTAGCTGCCTCATTCTTCCCCTCTAGACAGTAGGTGCTCAGTTTTCTTCTGATCAACTTGCCAAAAACCCAAGTAAATTCCTAACCTCCTGTCACCTCGGTGATAGGAAATGTATTACCTTTAATTAAGAGGGTCCTTGTCCTGGTTAGAATGGGGGAGGGCACTGCCTCTCTCTGCCATTTTAATGGTTTCAGGTGCAAGGAACGGAACACTCTGGCTCCAACAAAAAGATATTTGTTGTTTCAGGGTGCCTGGGTGGCTCAGTTGGTTAAGCGACTGCCTTCGGCTCAGGTCATGATCCTGGAGTCCCGGGATCGGGTCCCACGTCGGGCTCCCTGCTCAGCGGGGAGTCTGCTTCTCTCTCTGACCCTCACCCCTCTCATGCTCTCTCTCTATCTCATTCTCTCTCTCAAATAAATAAATAAAATCTTTATTAAAAAAAAAAAAGATATTTGTTGTTTCAAATAAAAAGCCACCCGATGGTGGGCTGAGCTTCTGGCTGGGTGTGTCAGGGCTCTGGCCTTCCTTCTCTGAGGATCTCTTGGCTCTGCGGTGCGTCCTGAGTTGGCTTCATCTTCATGCTGGTAGTGAGATGGATGCAACATGTCCAGGTTTCAGCCACAAACTACAAGATCCAGAGACAGGGAAAGGAACTGCCTCCTCCTGGGTCTCTCTCCTTTTTTTTTTAAGATTTATTTTATTTATTCAAGAGAGAGTACTAGTAGGGGGAGGGGCAGAGGGAGAGGGAGAAGCAGGTTTTCCACTGAGCGGGGAGCCCGAAAGGGGGGTTAGGGCTCCATCCCAGGACCCTGGGATCATGACCCAAGCAGAAGGCAGATGCTTAACTGACTGAGCCACCCAGGCTCTCCCTGGGTCTCTTTTTTATAAGGAAGAAAACATTTCCTCAACCCCCTCAGCAGCTTTCCTTCCCCCTAATCTCATTAGCCAAATTGTCACTTACCCATTCTTATGCTAGCTATCTAGAAAGAAGAATAGGATTATCATGGCTGGCTCACACCAGCGGTTCTCAGCTGGGGGAGGTTTTTCCTCCCAGGAGACATTTGACAATATCTGGAGACACTTTTGTTTCAACCGTAGTTGGGGTGCTACTGACAGAAATGCTGCTCAATATCCTATCAAACACACAATAGCACTGACAACAAAGAATTATCCAGGCTCAACATCAATAGTGTCAGGACTGAGACACCCTGGCTGAAACTAATCAGGGCCCACCCTAGAGCTGAGGACAAGATCACCTTCCCTTAGTCATGTGATGGCTCACAAACAACATCAGGGTTTTTACACAGGGAAGAAATGATGTGGTAGGCAGCCACCAATCTTCCCTACATCACTGCTTCATAGGTGTTGGGCTCCTGTATCAATTTCCTGCAGAGTTGGGGCGCCTGGGTGGCTTGGGCATTAGGCGTCTGCCTTCGGCTCAGGTCATGGTCCCAGGGTCCTGGGATTGAGCCCCTCATCGGGCTCCCCGCTCAGCGGGGAGCCTGCTTCTCCCTCTCCCACTCCCCCTGCTTGTGTTTCCTCTCTCGCTGTGTCTCTGTCAAATAAATAAATAAAATCTTAAAAGAAAAAAATTTCCTGCAGAGTAATCCAAATGGAGAACTTAGAAATCAGTGTTCTAATCACAATGGATTATATGGATATACAGTTCTAGAAACCAATGAGGCTAATATTCTTTTTTTAATTTTTTTTATTGAGATATAGTTGACATAAAACATTATATTAGCTTCAGGTATACAACATAATGATTCAATACTTGTGTACATTGCAAAAAAAAAAAATCACCCCAATAAGTCTAGTTAACATCCATCACCATATACAACTTTTTCCCTTGTGATGAGAACTTTTAGTATCTATTCTCTTAGCAACCTTCAAATATCCAATATTATTAACTATACTTACCATGCTATATATTACATCCCATGATATTTATTTTATTACTGGAAGTTTGTACCTTTTGAATTCTTCACCCATTTCATCCACCTCCACACTCCCTCACATTCTTGATTTAATATGCATATTTCTACAGAACTAGAAGGCTAGACACTGAAGATGACCACAGGACATTTGCTCATTGGTCAACCGAAGAACATTACAAATGTGCTTCTCTAAATCTTTTCAGAGAGGGAGGTATGACTTTACTATTGGTAGAATTTTAGCAGTGAGGAAAATGTGAGGTTGGCTGCTCCCGCTTGCAACATTGTTTGGTATCTCAAGGAGACACGGGAGTTCAGGGAGTCAAGATTAAAGTATCAGCTAAAATACCCAGAAGAACAATATATCCCTGTTCTTAGTTTTTGCTGAGACAGTTATTTATCCAATATCTCTTTGGCCTAAAAACAAAACCATTAATTACAAAGACTAACTTTTTAGAGCAAAGAGCAGGGTTAACATGCCATCCCAACAGCTGTGTATGTCTGTGTAGATTTCTGATTCCTATGCCTCTGGAAATATCTTGAGAACTAACTCATGCCCATAGTATCATATGATCTCACTGATATGAAGAATTCTTAATCTCAGGAAACAAACTGAGCGTTGCTGGAGTGGTGGGGGGTGGGAGGGATGGGGTGGCTGGGTGATAGACATTGGGGAGGGTATATGCTATAGTGAGCGCTGTGAATTGTGTAAGATTGATGAATCACAGACCTGTACCTCTGAAACAAATAATATATGTTTAAAAAAGAGAGAGAGAGAAGATAGTAGGAAGGGAAAAATGAAGCGGGGGGGGGAGATGAACCCTGAGAGACCATGGACTCTGAGAAACAACTGAGGGTTCTAGAGGGAAGGGGGTGGGGGGATGGGTTAGCCTTGGGGATGGGTATTAAAGAGGGCACGTTCTGCATGGAGCACTGGGTGTTATACGAAAACAATGAATCATGGAACACTACATCAAAAACTAATGATGTAATGTATGGTGATTGACATAATAATAAAAGAAAAGAATAGGCACGGATTTCTGGTGTATCGGGACTCAGCCACCCTCCAGTGGATGGCAGGAGGCTTGCATGCCAACAGAACTGTCCCAGAGTTCTCTTCTGAAACTTAAAGTCAGGTTCATTCACTTACACCCCTATAAGTTCATCACTACCTGTGGTAATCATTAGATCTAGTCACCAAATATTTCTAGTTCTTCCTCAAGTTCATGGTAGGATTGCACATCCTGTCACTTTAAATTTAGATGTGGTCATGTGAATGGCTTTGGTTAATGAAAACTCCAGCAAGTGCACACAAAAAAATTGAGCTTTAGGGGCGCCTGGGTGGCTCGGTCAGTTAAGTGTCTGCCTTCGGCTCAGGTCATGATCCCAGGGTCCTGGGATGGAGTCCCACATCGGGCTCCCTGTTCAGCAGGGAGTCTGCTTCTCCCTCTGCCTCTGCCCTTCCCCCAGCTTGTGCTCGCTTGCTCTCTTTCTCTCAAATAAATAAATAAAATCTTTAAAAAATTTTGAGCTTTGGGTCATGGAAGCATAGAGACACAGTCTCCATCACCCTACATTCCTAAGTGAGGATGACATGGAGCAGGGTCCCCAACAACCTGTAATGAACAAGTAGCATAAGCAAGAAACCACCTTTTAAGCCACTTAGATTTGGGGTCACCTGTTGCAGTAGTAGAGCCCGTTGTCTCCTGACGGATACAGTTCCCAAAATGCTAACTCCCCTCCGGTCATTCGTGCCCTCCATCCCCTCCCTGTATTTCTCCAGTCTCATTTTCTACTTCTCTTTTCACATCCCAACACAGTGTGTCTTCTGGAGCCCCAATTTTGCACCAAACAAGTTCCCTTGCATTCTTGGCTTCTCCATAGAATGTGTCCTTCACCTCTGGGCCTTTCCCCGAACCCTGGCTCTCCTCTAGAGGCTTCTCCTCTCACGCATCTCAGACCCGCGGGTTGGGAGGTGACATTGGCAGTTCCGATGCCAATGCTGCTTTTCTCCTGGAGTAAAAGTTCCACTTCTTTCGGACTCATGGTCTCTAGCTGGGTCACCCCTGGCCTTTTCACATTTGAGAGACATCCTGGTCACTCCTCCTCTTCCACTGCCCTCTTGGGCACCCGGATCATAGTTGTCCTCTCTTCTCCAAGTCCTGCAGAATCCTGGGAGGCTTCGGTGACCCTATGGACAACTACCAAACACCCTAGCCTCATAGCTTCCTGACTTTTCCAAGTGCAATAGTCTCCATCCTCTTTGTGCTCTGGCCACACTCTCTGAGGTTACACCCTAAACCTAGTCACCACTCAGAATGGCTTCCCTTCTGCAGTGGAAGCTATGATGACCCACCGTGCAGGGACAATGAGATGGCTCAGTAGGTTAAGCTGCACTGGATCCTAAGCAAACTTTCACTTTCCAAACCGTGTTCTAGAGCAGTGGTTCTCAAATTTTAATGGTTTATTCTAATCACCTGGGAATCTTGTTAAAAGTCAGACTCTGATGAAGCAGATCTGATGTGAGCCCTGAGTGTCTGCATTTCTAACCAGCTTCCAGGTCACGGCCATGCCTCCGGATCTCACTTAGAGTCACAGGGAGTCAAGTATCCATGAGATGGGGCTGCCCAATGCTTCCAAGTCTTCCTTGAGAAGAGCCCGCCACTGCCTCTTTGAGCTGTCATCAGTTGCCATGGGACCCACCCAACACCCAGAGACCTGTCTCAAGGAGTCCATGGGATGGTGAGTTCTTGCCCACGGTCTTCTATTTTGACTTTTACTTTTTTAAAGGATCTCAGATGCAAATGGTTCACTCATCTTCACTGCATAGCATACTTTCATCAGCCCATAAAATGCCCCTCTACTCGTGGTTTCTTTGCATTTTCATTTTTTGCAACCCTTCAACCTTGATACCTGTACCTCTTTCCTCCCCAGCCCTTGTCATACATCAGCACTCTAGTATGTTTGATATAGGTCCTTAAATATGCCTGCCTTCAACCTTGTAAAATGGGTTTTGTATGTTTCTGCTTTTAGATTACATAAATGATGAGCAATTTAAAAAGAAAAAAAAACATGAGAGACCTTCCTATGCCGTCTTGTTGTATGGCTCCTCCCGACGAGGTGGCTGACATTTATGTCCCCCTTACTTATAGAGGAAAACAATGCACCCCTTATTATTTGAACCAGCCCTGGTGAGTCTGTGTTTCTTGCAACCAAAATAACCTAAGGAACACCCTACTTCATAGGGGTGGTTGTGAGGCTTAACTGAGAGCAGAATGTGGTGTCTGGACTTCCCATGGCCCATTGCTCCTTAATGTCAGAACCTCTTTTCTTGTAGTTAGCAACAGGCTGAATGAAGAGTGATTTAGGCCTGGATTAAGGATTCAGTCTCCATATGGCCCAGTTAGCTTTGCCAGCTACCAAGAGCACCCCTAACACTAGCCTAAAATGTTGTTGCAGCCCCTTTGACATAAAGATAGAAGTAAAAAGGTTTAAAACATGCAGCCAGACTTGATTAGACAGACTAGTGGGCAAAGTAAAAAGTCCAGAAACAGACCCAAAGACATATAAGAATTTAGTATACGCTAAAGGTGGTTTTTCAAATTAGCAAGGAAAAGATGGATTAACTAGTAAATGTTGGAACATCAGGGCGACCATCTGGGAAGACAAATTAACTTGGATTCTTATTGTACTGCTTATAGCAAAATAAATTCCAGATGAAGCAGAGATTTAGATGTTAAAAAAATTAAATTATTAGAAAAAATCTTTAGGAGAGTTTTTGAAATAATCTCCAATTAAAGCTTTTCTAAGCATCACACAAAAACCCAGATATCTCAAAAGAAAGATGAATTTAGGTACATTAAAAAAAATTTTAATTCCTCAAGACAAATCCACCATAAACAAACTTCCTTAAAACATAAATAACCTATTCAAATCAATAAGAAAAAGACCATTGTCCCATTTGGAAAAAAAAAAAAAAACGGGCAAGAATATAAAGAGTTCATAGAAAAAAAATTTAATGCTCTAAATATGTGAAAAAAATACCTGAGATCACTTATAAAATGAAAAAAGCTAATTAAAATTATAATGAAAATGCATTTTTCAGCTCACAGATTGACAACATTGAAAGATTTAGAAACCAAGCTGACAAAGATGTATGAAAATAGCCACTCTCATAAATTTCTCCAGAGGATCATTTGACAATCTCTATCAAAGTAAAAATGAGGGGTGCCTGGGTGGCCGTGTCTGTTAAGTTCCCCACTCTTGGCTTCAGCTCAGATTGTGATCTCAGGGTTGTGACATCGAGGTCCACCTCCAGCTGTACGCTCAGCAGGGAATCTGCTTGGGATTCTCTCTCTCTCCCTCTCCCTCTGCCCCGCCCTTCCCCACCCCCCCACCACGGGTGCGTGCTCTCTCTCTCTCTCTCTGCCAAATAAATAAATAAATCTTTTTTAAAAATTAAAAATGAACATAGCCTTTGACTTTTAGGAATGCATTCACAAACATACTTAAATATGTGTGAAACTACATGTCATTTTATTACTGTAAATTATGATTTGTCCAAGTAATGGAATACCATACAGCTATAAAAAGTTGCAAAGCCTTTGGATTACTGACGCAGAACATGTCATATAGAGCAAAAAGCAAGATGCAGAACAATGTCGAGTAGGGGGAGGAAGAGAGTGAGAACACATCCCTGCTTGTAAGTGCATAGGAAATCTTCAGAAGGTTATGAAAGCAACTTTGAGGGGAAATCGGAGCAGCCAGCATGGGAGCGAAACTTCACGTTTCATGTTGACCTTTCGTACGAACTGAACTTTATAGCCCAGGCATCATTATGAAATGTAATAAAAATTTAAAGAATAATAAATATATCAAATGCTACCGGTTTTTCCAGCAGAAACCTTGGTGCCCACTGAGTTTTGGTTCTCAGTTCTGTTGACTATATATACAAACAAATAAAAAAGGAAGCTTAAAAAAGAAGTAGAAAGACACAGTAGAGAGAGGATCTGTTTTTACTCTGAAGTTTGGTTTTTCTAGGTATTTGGTGATGAAGTAATGCCTGCTTTCTCAAACCACGTGAGCATGAGACGTGACTCTCCCTCTCTCCCGAGAGGTGGCTGTGTGCAGCCCCAGGGAGTGGGCGCCCGGTTGCAAACATGACGGACTGATCAGGGAGAGCCGGGGCTGATCAGTGGGGGAGGCAGGCACTAGGGGCTCTCTGGACCAAAGGGAAAGACGGGAGCCTACAGGCTGTTGATTCAGCAACACGTCAAGGGCCAGAATGCCTGCCTGGGTCCCCTTTGGAACGCAGTTGACCGAAAAGAAAGTGCAGCCTTCTGGGCATGGAGAAGGGAGCACAGAAGAAATAAAGAGATAGATAAATAGCAGAGGCAGAACCCAGGGGCTTGAAAGGGCAAAGAATATCAGGTTTTGGAGTAGGGACATAAAGACTGGGGGAGAGACAGGGGCTCAATGTGGCTGAGGCAGGAACTCCCGATCTCTCTTCATTTTCTGTGTCTGGTGATCATGTCGGGAGATGAGGCCTTCCCCTAGCACTGCATGGCTTGAGCTCACACTCAGGGTAATGATCATGGGTTAATATTTAGCCCCACTTCGAACCCGATCAGCACACAGCTCGAAGAGCTTTCACAGATGGGACTCTAAGAGCAGCACCCAGCGTACCATACCCTCAAGCTTCAAGCTTCTCTCAGTACTGGTTCCATGTTGCTGCCTGGGTCATCTTTACCCAGCCCTCTATCACCCTGCTTCCCTTGCCCTATAGGCTTGCATTCATTCATTCGTTCATTCATTCAACAGGACCTACTACACCAAGCATTGTGTCAAGCCCAGAAACACAGTGGTTAACATGACAAACACGATCCCTACCTTCATGGAGCTTACAGTTTAGGGAGGAAACAGCTGAAAAGCAAAACCCAAATCAGCATGTAATATAAATTATGACACATGCTACGAGGGAAAAAAAATGTGCTCTGAGAGTGGGAAGCTGGCAGCCCAGTTTAGACTGTGTGGTCAGGAAAGGGGGCTGCCTCAGTGTACAGCCCTAGGGGACATTGCCCACAGAAAACACAGTGTGCATGGCATGCCCAGAGGTCAGCCTGGCCGAGTGGGGCCAACAAGCCTTCCAGGAGAGGGAAAGGCATGCTCACAGGCACCAGAATAGCAAACATTGTGGCAAGGACAAGCCACTGCAAGAAGTACAAAGGAAGGGCAGCGCAGAGGAAGGGAGGCATGAGATGAGGCTCCAATTCATGGAGAATATGGGAGACCATGAGAGGAAAGTGGGATTTTATTCTAAATTGAGTGGGAAGACTCTAAATCATCTAAGGTGATCATCTAAGGTGAACCCCATCTATGGGGTTCAATGTATAAATATTTATAAGCCACTCTGGCTCCCATTTGACGCATGGGTTGGAAAAGAGCAGAAGTGGGTAACCAGTTTGGAGGCCATTGAGTCAACCAGGCCAGAAATGAAGGTGGCTCAGCAAAAGATGACAGCTGCAGAAAGAGAGACCAGTAGACGGAGTCGAGACAAGCTTTGGAGCTAGAAGTCAGAACACTTGCTGGTAGGTTGAATGACTCCAGGCTTCTGGCTTAAGTAAATGGGTAGTCCCACTTATTGAGACAGGGGAACCTGCGGAAGAATGGATTAGTGGGTAGATCCAGAGTTCCATAAGCTGAAATGCTTACGATAATTAAGTAGAGATGGCAAGGAGACAGCTGGTTTTATGAGTTTGTGTTCGTATCAGAGATCTGGTTGGAGACACAATATGGGCAGCATAAGGTTGTACTGAAAGCCTTGTGAAAGAGTGAATCCTCTAGTGAGGGAGTGTGCGCAAAGAAGCTTTATTTTCTAATGTGCTGGAAGGTTTTTCGGGGTCTCTCATACATCACGGACCACACCCCGTAAAGTTTTTCGGGAGCGGCTGGGAACAAATCTTTACCTTTGCCTTTAACAGTGCAGACAGCTCGAGCATAATGCCTCACTTCCCAGCATCTCTGCTCACTCACAAGTGGGAATCCTTCATTTATTCTCTACCTTGGATTCTCAGTCTAGTCACACACTGATTAAAAGGCCTCTTAATTGTCTTAGGACACAGTCATGTTACAGTGCAAAGTTTCAAGGGTGGATCAGAAACAACGATGAGGGTACAAGGGAATGTGAGGGCATGCAGGATCTGTTCATCCTTAACTCTTTATTTTTCCCAGGTTCCAATGTATCCTGGATTGGGATGACCAGCAGGCCTCAGGGAGAACTGAAACACCCCTAGCTTTGCTTACTAAGCGTATGCCAGCATCTCTCTGTGGATCTGATGTTCATACTCTTCAATAGAGAGGATTTGTTTGGGCTTGTTTGTCCCAACCAACATGGGTCCCTGTACTGAGTTAAGTTTTTCACCGGGCCACCTCCCATGGGTTGAGCTCCATGATATCCAATCTAAACCTGGTTGCCTTTAGTATGGATGATGATCCCCATTTCAGTCAGTCACTGTGATGGAAATGAGGTTCGTTTCCCTCACGGTACAGGCCTGGACCACTACAACAAATGCAGCCTCCATCTGAGCCCTCTGGTCTCTGAAGGGGCTGAGGATTCAGACCCTTTTCGAGCATTGGCTTAAAGTAACTACAGTTCCTGGTCCCATATTCATGGCTGTTGCTACAATTCATCCTCATCTGAACGTGCCGAAGTGTGAATCTTCAGTCTGTCAAGGTTATAAAGTGACAATGATGAAGGATCACTGGAAGGCAGGCAGACAGGGACAAGCCCCCTGCCCCCAAGAGGAAAACTGCCCTTAAAAGGATTTTACACCGCCTTGGAAGGAGCCCTCCACCCTTTCCCATTTGATAGATAGGTGACAAAAATCTGACTGGATGATGGGCGCAGGGAGGGTTCATCCTTATAAGCCCATAAAAACCCCTAGCCATAGACGCTCCAGTGGCAACCCCTTCGGGTCCCCTCCTTCCTTGGGAGCTTTGTACTATCACTTTGCTATCGCTCAATAAACCTTGTGTTGCTGCCCACCACTCAGTCCAGTCTGCCTCTACATTCTTCGAAGTGGCATGACCAAGAACCATGGCAACTGACAGAGAAAAAAATCCTGCAACAACAAGACTGGTGGTTTAGAAGGACCTTCAACGGCCTCATAAAATCTTTCCCTGGGGTATGTAGTTGCTCTATTTTACAACTCCTATCTGCCAAGTTCTATATGTATTTTGTTTCTCTCAAATTTGAGAAAACTCTTTAGGAAAGTTTCTGAACATTCCTCATACACCTCTTAATTATGGGCTCAGCCTCTGGGTCCAAGTAAATAAGACTGATCCAGTTTCACAAAATTTCAAGCTAGTCAGGAACCAGAGAGCTTTGAGGTTAAAACAAAGTAGCTTGAAGACCTGATTGGTGAAGGATCGTTAGACTAACCACATACAGACAAGCGGAACTTCCCTTTAGGGTCGAACTTCAGATACAAAACTCAGATCTTTTGAGACATTTTAAAGAATGCCAGTGTAATAGAAGATTCCACCTTTGAGGTCAACCAGAAAAGTCACCTATGTTTTGTGGGCCCAATAGAGGAAAGAGATAGGGAGTGAAGGGTTTTTGTCAACCCTCCAGGGCATCATTATCAGAGCCTTGTCATTTTAGGAGACAGCTCTCCACAGTTTTCTGGCATTTCTGAATATCTTGGGGATCACAAGACTACTTGATTTTGAGACTATCTTCTCAAGGATGTTGGCAAACAGCCTTGGAAGACAGATAACATCTCCCTCCAGAGCACTGGCAAGTTTACTGTTTGGTTTAATAACAAAGATAGTGTCTCCCTCCAGGGCAAATTTCAGGTAGGCTTACTGCCCATTATAAAAGATTCAAGTTCCCCAAACTTGGGGTTCCTCTCTTCTAATGTAGCCCCCTCCTTGTGCAAGCATTACCTGGCCCTTTCATGTATTATCCTGTGGAAATTGAGGTTTGAGGAAGAAACGCCAACATGATGTTACTTGAGTTACGGCTATTGCTGTAAGTAATAAACTGTGCTTTATCTCTGACCCAGGAGTCTTATATCTTCTGCCAGCATCCATGAAGTAGGCTTAGTAGCTTTCAGGTAAGGTAAATCCTCAAACGCTTCATAATTCTTGACAGTCAAGCACCTGTCTGTGTAATCTTGGCCCAGGACTCAAGGCCAGTGTTGGATCTTCCAAACAAAACTCCCTTGACAGCCCAGGTGGAGGGATTCTCTTACTCCTGCAGATTGTCAGACTGCATGAACAAGTGCATACTATTGCAATTTCCATAAGACTCTACATTCGAAAGCTTATTCCAGAAGTTCTTCCAAAAAGTCCCAGCACTGAACAAAGTGGGGCAGGCAGGAATGACCATCTGTGTCAGTGGCCACACAGCTGGACCAGATGTTTTCTAAGTTTTCCTCCCCGGTGGCGGTGGCAGCCAAGAGCCTCACCCACGACCACACCTAAAGCTCTCCTTCCTGCCCCCTGCCTGACGTTCTTCCCTCCCCTGCCTGTTGCTTCTCGCCTCTAAGTTCTTCAAGGTCACTTTGTTCCTTTCATCTCTGCTGCTTCCTCCATAAGCTACACTCTCATCATCTCTTTCTAACCCTGACCCCAGCTTCCACCTTCTTCCACTCCAGGCTGGGTCCCACACTGCCATCAGAGTTTCAACTTCCTTAGATCCCCATCACCTTCAGACAGGGGCTTCCAAGCCAGCCAAACCTGGTGGCTGCTTGTGTCTGCTTCATACATTGGACTTCTGCTAAGATTATTTTGAAAAAAGTTTCCACTGCTTTACAACTTTTTGAAAAAAAAAAAAATGCTAGCCTGAAAGATAACACTTCACACCTTTAGCTTGTCACTCAAAGCCCTTCATGATAGTGCCCCAGCCCAATCCTCCCCCCACCCTCAGAAGACCTCACTTGAGCCACTGTTCCCATACCCATATCACCTATAGTTTTGTGTTTTGTTTTGTTTTCACCATACCACTGTTTTGATCAAGCCTCCCTGTCCACAAGATCAGGCCCAAGCTACTTAAGTTTGTATTCATCGATCTCCCTGTTCTGCCATGTGTCCTTCCTGACACAAAATCTCCCCACCAGCAAATTTGGTCTCTTCCTAGTACAGTGGAAACCGGGTTCCTATGAGCCTTCCTTGAACGTCTGTCTGTTTACATTATGACTGCACCTTTTCTTTCTGCTGTCCTTCCCCTCCACTCTGGGCTCCCCATCCTCCAGCACTGCAAACACAAGACACATGTAACTACAATGGACAAAGCCATCTCTGATCACTCCATGGAAAACCCCAGTGTGTGTGTGAGTGAGTATATGTGTGTCCCCAACCTATTAACTCTGACATCAGGAACACCTCACTCCACCCCAGTATCTTCTCTCCCCCGACACTCATATATATGCTTAGTACCTTGCAAAAGCAGACTCCCAGTAAATACATGTTGCTTCACTGAACTCAAGAATCTTTCCTTCTGCTTTCCCCATCTTTCCACTCGAGTAACACAAATTCCTGTTGCACAACATTACCTCTGATTCCTAACTTGTGCTATATGTCCTGCTATCACCCCACAATCCAACCTGAAATGCCCTGTTCTTTTCTTCCTTCCTCACCTACTCAATTCCTACTTACTCTTTACGATACAGTTCCATTGTCACCTCTTTGTCCAACCCAAGTCCTGTGTCAACCTGTACAACTTCAACCAGGAGGTTGATTTATTCTATGGATTCAAAGTTCCTTGATCTTATGATTTATTTAATAGAACCAGGTCAAATTTTCTATCCCACAAGCAGGTAACACACTGCATACCACATCACCTTGTATTATAAATATCTGCTTCTGTGTCCACCTCACTCCAAGAGATGATGAGCTCCTTGAGGGGAAAAAGATTGGGTCTTATCCATCTTTATGTTCTCAACACATAGCACATTCTATGTGCTCAATAAATATACGCTAAATGAAAACGTGAGTTTTTCCAGTGACTCAGCTGTGATAGTTAATTTTATGTGTCAGCTTGATTAGGTTCTGATCTCCAGATGTTTGGTCCGATTCTTTTTTAGATATAATTACAGGGAAATCAGTAGATTTTTAGTAAAGTGAATTACTCTCCATAATGCAGAGTAAACTTCGAGTAAAGCAGATTATGTTCCATAATCATCCAATTAATTGAAGTCCTTAAGAGAAAAATAGTGCCATCCCACAGAGGAAGAAGGAATCCTGCCTCCCTGAAGAACCCTGACTAATATGTCAGTCATGTGGGTCCAGAAGTGAAGGCAGCAGCTGGTGAGGCTGATCCCGAGTTGGAAACTGGCAGGCCAGCTGGAGCAGAAGGACAGAGAAGGGAGTAGAAAGTTTGGGCAGGAGAGTGACTGAGCTAATGGGATGGGGAAGCTTAAGCTGAGTAAGGACAGAGGAGTCATCCAGAAGAGGGCTGGTGGATGATGAGGAAATGGAAGGATGACAGGACCAAATGAGACAGCAGAAACAGATCTACACACAGGGGTAACAGTAGCATCTGAGGTTCCGAGTCGGGGTAAGACTTCAGAGGTGGTGCAGGTTCTGATCATGACACAGTCCAGATATGGTTATAGAAATGGACAAGGGAAGAAAAATATAGGAAGGACCTTGTGTTAAACTCCAGAGAAGGAGAACCAATAGGACATGTATGTATATAGAGGGGGATTTATTTGAAGAAATGGGCTCACACAATTGTGGGGGCTGGCAAGTCCACAATCTGCAGGGGAAGCCAGCAGGCTGGAGGCCCGGGGAAGAGTTGATAATTGCATTCTGTTATATTCCACATTTATTGTTTCAAATTTTACTGTTGTAAGAAGTATTGGAATAAACATCCTTGTCTAAAGTAGCATCAATTTTTCTAAGTATTTCATGTGTATACAACTTTGTATCTTAAGACAGTACACCGCTTTTCTTTTTTTTTTTTAATTTAATTTATTTATTTGAGAGAGAGCAAGAGCAAGAGAGAGAACACGAGGGGGTGGGAGGGTCCGAGGGAGAAGCAGACCCCCAGCTGAGCAGGGAGCCCGATGTGGGACTCGATCCCGGGACTCCAGGATCATGACCTGAGCTGAAAGCAGTCGCTCAACCAACTGAGCCACCCAGGTGCCCAGTACACCGCTTTTTCTAAAACATGTATTTCTGGACTGCAGATCAACCAAGTGAATGTGGAAATTGCAGAGCATGATGCCAGGTTTTAGGGTGGAGAGGAAGCCTGTGGCCATGAACATGAGTCGGTAAAACATTTTTTTCTTTCTTCCACATTCTTTCTCTTGTTGTCGTGTTTTTCACTTGTTGCTTAATGTTTTTCTCAGTAGAGAAAAATTAAAATTTTAAATTATTAGCCTGAATTTTACTGTTCATCTTTACATCGTGCAATGCCAGTTTTAAATGCAAATGCAAGAACACTTGACTCATATGCAGAATCACTGCAATGTCAGAATTTGTATTTTATAGCTGGCACATGCATGTGTGTTTCATTCTTACCAGAATTAAATTAACTCACCTGTTTTTATTTTACTTCTTGATGTACATACCAATCTACCAACACTCTCTACCATAGGCTTACCGATGAGTAAGGAAGGAAATGTGGGTCCCCCAGTCTTTCCCTTTCCTTCTGCATCATCATTTACAGAGTAAGTGGCGGGCTTATGATACAATAGGAAAGGATATGATAGGGTTCCTTGATTGTTTTTGTTTCTTGAAGTGCCTTCTTCCTACATTTGAAGCAAGTTCTAGTTGAAACAGGAAGTGTGGCCTCTAGGGCTATAAAAATCCCACTTATTCAGTCATAGAAATAACACACTTATCTAGTATTCATTTTATGTCTCACTGAACTCCCACACATCATGTGTCCACCAGGATTCCTTTCTTGTGGGGCATCATGAATACAATACACAGGGGCAGCAAGGAATGGCAGACCCACATGTTGCACATATCTCCTCTGTTCACAAGCCTGCTCCATTGTCCTATTGGATTTCACTTGCAAAACACAAGTTCAAAGACAAAATTATTAAGAACTTCAAGATGGGGCACCTTGCTAGCTCAGTCAGTGAATTCAAGCCCCACATTGGGTGTAGAGCCTACTTAAAACAACAACAACAAAAGAAACCCCCCCAGATGGTAACAGGGGAGCATTAAACCAAGTGTGGGACCCTTCTGAGTGTGGAACCCTGGGACCACCCTGTCCATGATGAGATAAAGTGGCAGAGTCAGATGGCACGGTCCTCAAAAGAGTTGGTTTCTGGAGCACCCGGCTGGCTCAGTCAGTAGAGCATGTGACTCTTGATCTTGGGGTCATGAGTTCGAGCCCCACATTAGGTGCAGAGATTCATTAAAAACATTCTTTTAAATAAAAATAAATAAATAAATAAATAGGTAAGTAGTTGGTTTCTGAAAAACAAAGGAGACAGTGGAGGAGTGATATGTTAGGAGAGTGTGGAGAACAGTGACAACTTCTGCTTCCTGGTAAATATACCAGGAATGCCAGAAAATACAGTATATTCTCTGTAAGATAGAAAATTTAACATAGATCAGTTAAATAAATCATAAGATCAGGGAACTTAGAGTCCAGATACAGGG